TTCACTCCTGTGAATAAAATTTATTCACTCCTGTGAATAAAATTTATTCACTCCTGTGAATAAAATTTATTCACTCCGGTGAATAAAATGATTTCTTTCGCAAAAACTTCCAAGTTTTCTAGTCTGGAATGATTGAAAAATAGTACCAATAACCAGACGAGAAAACATGAGAAGTAGTACGAAAAAAAATTAATACTCACAGGTGGTATATGCCAGCACAACCAAAATAGCGAGAATAAAAAGAACACGCATCTTGAGAAAAAATTAAATGATACAAAAAGTCTCACATTTTATCCTTTTATACAATACTCCCAACAAAGCCCAGACTTCATGAATTTAGATTATAAATATAACGTCAACGTATTAATTTCCGATTCTTTTTCCTCATTTTGACAATTGGATATTGATATCAATCGTACTGTCACAAATAAACATGAATATCTTTCATAACTTCCTACAAAACGACTAATGGAGTCAAACTTATTTCCTAATCAAACCGAACCGGCCCCCCAATGAAGTGAAGTTAACTCTGGTAACACCAAATTAATATATACAATTCCCCAACTGTTTAATTTTTGCGCGCCGGAACCGACATTACCGCGCGGTTAGTAAAACAGAGGCGAGATTTATATATGGTCGGTAATGTAGGTTTCTGATTGTCCGATCGAGTGTTTGGCTTTACCTGCCTGGGCTTGTGGGTGTTGTTTTTTCCAGACAGATGGCGCGGCATGTACTACATACGGTCGGTAATAGAGGAAAGTTTTTGAATGACTTACCGACTGCTCGAAAGAATTCTCTCCGGATCTCACCAACAGATGTCGTGACACCTAAACAGCTGTTGTCTCTCGCCACGTTGGAAGGATCGAGTTGGTTTGCCGAAAGTCTATGTGACATTATAATAATATCTCCGCCTTGAAAGTGTTGATTGTTGATAATAAAAAGTGGAGTTGAATAACCAAAGGTGAGTAAAAAAAAAATCCAATCGACCGACTCGTCAGCCATCGACCCACCACTTTCCCGTGCGATTTCTTCAAGAAAAAATAAATATGTACACGTCAATGATTTAATGAAACTAGCTCATTGAGATTGATGACAATAAAAATACTTACCGAAGTCGTTGATGTGGCAAATGACTGGTGAGGGGGTGTCGAGTGAGTTTTCGATTGGAGTCTTCATTTTGAAATTTTTTTTCTCTCTCCCAAGACATGAAAGACTGACGAGTTCTGGATAAAATATATTTTAATGTCTTCAGGATTGAAAAATGAAGGTGAAGGAACTCCTGAAGACCGTGAATGTCGCCTGGTCACCACCAGCTCAGCATCCCCTGATGCTGGCTGCTGGAACTGCTGCACAACAGCTAGATGCCAGTTTCAATACATCTGCTAGCCTCGATTTGTATTTATTGGGTCTGCAAACACCTGGTTATGACATGGAACTCAGGGCTAGTGTACCCAGTGATCACAGATTCCACAAGATAATTTGGGGCTCCTACGGTCCCTCGCCCTCAGGAATAATCGTTGGAGGATGCGATTATGGCACCATAAAAATCTACTCAGCTTCAAAACTCCTCTCAAACGATCAAGACTGTCTCCTGAGCAGTCCAAACCGTCACACAGGTCCAGTCCGTGCTCTGGATTTCAATCCCTTCCAGTCAAACCTCCTGGCATCAGGTGCAACCGAGTCCGAGATTTACATCTGGGACATCGTGAACACCTCCACTCCAATGTCCCCAGGTTCACCCTCAAATCCTCCAGAAGACATCCAGTACATCCAGTGGAATAAACAAGTGCAGCACATCCTAGCCTCCGCCTTCACCCAGCGCTGCATAATCTGGGACTTGCGAAAAAACGAAGCGATAATAAAACTCTCGGATGCCAACTCGAAGATCCGCTGGAAAACCCTCCAGTGGCATCCAGAGATGGCGACACAGCTGTGTCTAGCCTCCGAGGACGATCAAACACCAATAATTCAGCTGTGGGATCTGCGTTTTGCATCATCACCACTGAGAACATTCCAGCATCATCAGCGAGGTGTTCTCTCCATCGCCTGGAGCACTCACGATCCAGATTTGCTGCTGAGTTGTGCCAAGGACAACACAATTCTCTGTTGGAATCCAAATTCAGATAATCCAGGCGGAGAGGTTCTGTGTGAATTAGCACAAACAGCTCAATGGAATTTCGATGTCTCCTGGTGTCCAAGGACCCCTGGACTCATCGTCGGCAGCAGTTTTGATGGTCATGCTGTGGTGTATTCTCTGCTGGGAGGCTCTCAGGGGCAGTCTCATGAAACTGCTAATCAGATTGTCGATTCTTTTCCTGGGATGGATCCATTCGTGCAAGCTCCACCTTCTGCCAAGTCCGAGTCAGCACCAGCATTGAAGAGAGCTCCCAAGTGGCTGAGGCGACCTGCTGGTGTGTCATTTGGCTTCGGAGGAAAGCTGACGATATTTGAGAATGAACCTGCGGACAGCAACTCTGGGACTTCTGCCAAAAGGAGTGTCATTGTCTCTCAGGTAATCACCAATCCTGATATGATCAAGAGGTCCAATGAGCTGGAGAGTGCACTGAAGACTGAGCAGTTTCTGGATTACTGCCAGGGGAAGATTGAAAATATCGAGGATGAACATCTGAAGAAAATATGGAAATATGTTGGGGCGTACTTTAGTGAGGATGTCACTCAAAAATTTCTGGAGCTACTGGGGTACAATGTAGCAGAAATAAATCATAAATTGAAGAGATTTATACCTGAAGAGGATGTTGACAGAGTCACTGATGGTGTAGCCAGGGCCCAATTAGATTCTCTCCAGAATGGTAATTTCGATCCAACCGCTGCATTCGACGCCATCGCCCAGCAGGAGCTGAAGAGATCTCCAGTGAAGATCAAGGACACCAGTTTGAAGCTGAATACCAGTGACGACGAGGATGGGCTCATCACTCAGGCAATTCTCGTTGGGAACATCGAGGCAGCTGTTTCCCTGTGCTTTGACAGTAAACGCTACGCCGATGCTGTCATCCTCTCGATGGCTGGAGGTCCAGATCTTCTAGCTAGAACACAGTACAGATATTTTTCCGAGCACACTGGTGTGCTCAATTCATTGATTAATTTCGTGGTCAGCGATAATTGGGGGGAAATTGTGGAAAATTGTGATGTTTCCTGTTGGAAGGAAACACTCGTAGGAATTTTTACTCACTCTAATGCCGAGGAAAGATCTGCACTCTGCGAAGCTCTTGGAGATCGTCTCTGTTCGATTGATGATGTAGAGCTGAGACGACAGGCGCAGATTTGCTACATCTGCTCGGGAAATTTGAGTAAAGTCATTCAGGTTGGAGGGACTGGAGTCCAGGACACTGTCGAACTCGTGATGGTATTGAAGAGAGCGTTGGAGCTTCATGGAAGTAGCAATGTTAAGGTGGATGGACACATTGGAAGAGTTTTATCTCAGTATGCTGAACTTCTTGCTTCTGAAGGGGATCTCGATGCTGCCCTGGGATACTTGAAGAGTGGAGAGGAGGGAGGAATGGGAATGCTGAGAGATAGATTGTGCAAGGCTCTCCAGTATGTTCAGACCGGTGGTCAACAGCAGCCTCAACAGTCACAGGGACAAGTGCATCCTCAAAGTTACAGCCAGAAGAGTCAGCAGAGTATTTATGGTGGTGGAAATGTCCAGAGTAATTATGGACAGAATCAGCATGCCTGGAATGCCAATAATTGGAATGTCAATCCAATGCAGAACGCCTGGGGAATGGCTCAAGTTGTACCTCCAGTACAGACTGCACAGCCTATGCCTTCTCAACCTCTTCAATCCCTCCAGCAACCACCGAAGAATTATGGGCAACCTCAAACGATTTTATCTCCAGCAGCACCACCCACTGCACCTCCACCCATGCAGACTGCTGGAAGTTCTCACAGTGGATCCAGGCCCTCCAGCGTTGGTCCCTCGTCCAGGCCCAAGTATATGATCGATCCCTCGGTGAAGAGCCCTTCATCCTATGGGGGATATGGGCAAGGATATTCAGCCCAGAATCAGGTGTTTGGATACCAGGGGCAGGGGTATGGAGAGGTTGATGGATTCAAGGCTCAACCGAGTCTGATGACACCGAGTTTACCTGCTCAACCTCCTCAGGGCATTTATGACCCTACCATGGGTCAAGGAGGACAGGCAGGACTCTTTGCCGGAGCCAGTGAACCCTCTGCTTATCAACCAACACCTCAACCCGCTGGCTGGAATGATCCTCCAATTGCCAAGTTTAGAAATCAGGTAAAATTGATTTAATATCTTTGATCTGAAAATATAAAAAGAAAAGGAGTCAATTTTACCCCCAACGCGGTGACTTATCGATTATTTTTTGAAATTGATATAGCCAGTGATGGCACTGTGTGAAAAAAATGAAATGTCTGCGGAACATGCTGGCACGAGAAAATGGAGGGTCAAGCATTCCAAGACTAATAACCTCAAGGTAGCATTACAGCCTGACAGTCCCTATTATTTTTTTTGACTTTTCCTGTTTTTTTTTTGTGTTACTAAATCAATTTTTTTTATTCTGCTTCACCTGATTACTATAATTTATTAGACCAAACATGATTGCAGTGAATTATGAGAACACCATCGAGAAACATGAAATCATCGAATGACTTTTTTACTGATTAATGATTTTATCTGTAATGCGAGTATTTTCTGATTGATTAATTTGGTTTGACAGCAACAAGCGAACGAATTCTCAGCTCAGAATCCGATTCTTCAGCCCTTGAGAGGAGCTGCGCCACAACAATCTTACAATGTGAGTATCTCAAATGGAAATCTCAAAATCACTCAATCGAATTGAATAATAAATTGAATTTATAAATGATTTTTTTTTATCGAATAATTAAATTAATTAGGCACCTGAAGAGAATTACCACCAAGACCCTCACAATCCCTATGGCCAGGCGCAGTACAATCAGACAATCCTCAACCCATCAAATCAATTTAGCCCACCGATGGGTTTCGATCAACATAATCAATCTTCAAATACGCACCAGCAACAGCAACATCATCCACCTGTGCAGGCAGCCAAAGCAGCTGAACCGGAAATCCCGAAGGCGCCTATTCCCGAGGAACACCTCCACCTGAAGACGGTCTTGGATGAGTTGCGAATTCATTGCTACGAATCTGCAAAAAATCCACAGACCAAGCGAAAAGTTGAGGATGTTGCGAGAAAACTTGAAACTTTGTACGATTGTTTGAGAGACAAATCTGTGAGTATTCCCTGCATTATTTCTCACGTTAATCAATATTACTGTTTTAATTAATTAATTAATTAAATTGTTATTTATGGTTATTGGGTATTTCAGCTCTCACCAAATACTCTACAGGGACTTCACCAGATTTGTCAATTTATTCAAGGAGGAAATTACACTAATGGATTGAGCATACATACTCAATTAGTATCTGGACCAGATTTTAGTAGAATTGCCCCCTTTATGCCAGGAATTAAAGTATTGCTGCAGAGTGCACTTCAATTGGGTGTTTACATCACGTAAAATACCGGCATCAACAAATTTTCGAATGTTTTTTCGTATTTGAAGCCTTACTCGTGGAGAGAAATTATGGAAATAATTAATTAATTGCCGGATTATTTGGTTGTCGTTAACGATTGGTGATCGATTAATTTTTATACTTTAATATAGAGAAGCCAGAAAACTCTACTTTCTATTCATTTTGCATGTCCCGTAGTATTAACAAAAAAATGTTCTCATTTTTGAAAAAAATAATTTTTCAATACCGCGCCAACCGTAATTAATCGAAAATTAGTTAATGCATTAACTAAACACACTGTGCAATTACCGATAATTAATGAATTTGTATTTTTAGAAATTTAATTTTTCATCGGAATGATTCAAGAGGTGAATAGATTTATTTCCCGTTATTAATTCGAATTTTTATTCATTAGGTATTTAAGAAAATTTGTTTACGTGAGACGCCAAAGTACTTTTATAAAATCAGTTTGAATAAATTCAATGGAAAGACAAAGATGAAAAGGAAAATCAATGAAATAAATATATTGATAAGATTTTCTCAATTAAAATGGATTTGTGCAAGAAAACTTATTTTTTGTAAAAAATTAAATTAAATTTGTGAAGTAAACTAAAAAAAAAAAACTCTTTTGCATTCATCAAGAAGAGGATCTCAGGTAATTATTAATTAACTCCAATAATGCAATGAAATAATTATGTAATAACCAACTATAGTGTAATATTTTAATATTAATAATGAAGAAGTACAGATGCCTTTATACATTATGTATAGACAAAGTCATAATATAATTCTCTTAATTATTTCACCGCTTGCTGTTTAACCGTCTTCCATTATTTTTAATTAATCAGTATCCTTAAACAATCCACTTGAAATTAATATAATTCTATAGAGAAAGATAGATATGTTTAATCGTGTATTCAGTATTTTGAGAGATTTATGCTCCATTTTTTTCGTGAGGCATTTATTACATTTAATGAAAGAGAGTTGTCTTGCATAGAAATAATTTCATGGGAATTGTCAATTAATTTTTTCCTAATTACCTCCATTCTTCGGTGTAAAACATATGATTGCGTTAAACAGTGGCGAATATTATTCCATTTTAAAAATCAATTGATAATTGATTCATTTTTTTTTAACCAGTATTATTTTTTCTGTGAGGAGATAAAACGTGAAATATCAATAAGATAATTTCACAAATCGATTTGTGCTATCACGTTTTACACCTGCATTTTTGAATTAATAAATTAATTCATCAATAAATAATGATTATGTTTGCTTCACAAAACAATTTAACCACAGCTACATTGAATCATCTAGAATTTCCATTTCATCTAGTGTTCATTATATATTAATAAAAATCACGGATATTTTACAAACATTATCTTACTTATTAAAATTTGTACAGAGCGTCATATAATTTCCTTTAATTACACAATTTTGCTTACTTGACTCATTCTCGCCGTAATTTCCAATTCTTTGCATTTTCCTCACTGAATTTATTAATGAGTAGAGCCTGACAACTGAACGATTAAATCGCTCCACAATTTCGTTGTGCTCCAATGATACTTTTATTATTATTTATAAACATGATTTACTAACTGAATCACTGGGATTGTTCAACCACTGGGAATAATACGACTTCACTCAAACCAATGAATAACTTTTTTAGGAACTATCTAAAAATAAAACGATTTTAAATTTGTGAATGCGTTGTGCAAACGATCCAACCATCACGAACCGTAAGTACGGACTAAAATGATGAATACAGTGGGCTCCCATTGGATACCCGCTCTCGAGGATGTAAACAAATCCTATCCCCGCGCTACACGGGTACTTGAATGGAGCTCCCACTCAGCGCTACAATTCCCAGAATTTTAAAAGAAATCTAATATTTTCACGATTTCGATTTCGCTTTCTTACGCTTGTGTATGAAAATTTTTGGGAATTCCAGCGCAAGAGTGGTCGACGATTCCCCGAAAATTCATGGGAGTCCACTGGAGAAGAATTTTTATCGTCTACGAATAATTATTTCTGTCTCAAAAAAAAAAATAAATAAAATAATCAACAGAATTTGACAATTCCCCGTGTGATCTCGAAAACTGATGTTCCCTTGATTTCCTGCTGAGCCGATAAAAATTCTTCTGCCGGAAATTCTCGTCCTATCTCCGACTATGTAGAAATCTCAATAACGGGTTCAGCAGTGTTATTATTTATCATGCCTCCTTTGTCTCTGCACCCCATCTCAAATTCATCCCTTATCTCCTTCCTGCCACCCTGAGGGCTCATCACCCCCTCATCAACAGGACTTACTCTCTCACTGAACTCGTCGTACTCATACTCCGCCCTTTTTCCCGTGATATATTCATTATGTGCAATTCCATAATTATCTCCCGCATAGGTGACCTTTCCCATGAACGACCTGATATCATCAAAATATGTCTCCTCTCGGTCATTCTCATTGCTACTTCCCGGTGAATCGGCAACAGAAACAACAACACTTCCATCATCAGCCTCGTGCTTCTTGAGATGTCTATCGAGATTAGTCTGCTGTCCAAAGCACCTCTCGCAGAGTGGACACTTGAATGGCCTCTGCTTGTCGTGAATATTTCGGACATGACGCTGAAGATTACTAGAAATACTGAAAGATCTCTCACAGTGTTTACACTTGTATGGCTGCTCTCCAGTGTGGGTCCTGAGATGTCTGGTGAGATTGGCAGATCTTGGAAATACCTTGCCACAGAATTTGCAGGAGTACCTGTCCTTTATTTTTCCCAGTGGATGGTGCATCACAGACTCTTGAAATGGCTTGACACCAGGAAAATTCATTGGTGGTCTTGCAAGTAGATCAAATCCAGGTCTGTTGAGACCATTCATGATATTACCCAAGAAGGGAAGTCCCCGGGTTGGTCCAAAATGGGGTAGAGGTGGTAGAAGACGTGAGTCCGGTGCTGACGGTGGTGCGGAGTGAAAACCCGCGAATGTTCCTGGATTTCTGTACATAGCCTCGATAAACATGGGATGAATTGGTCGTGGATATGAGATGTGTGGTGGTGTGTTTGGTAGTTGTTGATCCTGAGGGTGTGATCTTGGTACCGGTGACGATGGTGATTCAAAATCATGATTATCACGATTTTTACTCGTTTTGCTCGTGTCGCTCGTTTTGCTCATATCGTTCAATTGGTTCATTTTGTTCACAATAGTCATTTTAGCCATTTCACTCATTATTCTCAACTCCGTCTGTCTCTTTTGCTCATCATCCTCATCATCAACAGACAGCTTCACCTTGGGTGTGACACTTCTTGATACTGACATTGATACTGGCGTCGGTGATGATAATCTCTCTGGAATTTTGGACTCGTCAGATACCTCAGCTTTCTTCATAACTCGAAGATCCAGGGGCTGATCGGTGGATTGTCCAGATAATGATGACGACTCAGTCTCCATTCTTTCAACTGGTGTCTTTTTCACGTCGTCATCACTCTCCGGTGTTGGTTGAACACTTGGTCGCACTGGTGATGGTCTGAATGTCGATATTGCCTCGTCATCAGCGGAGGGTGATAATTTATTATTTGGGTGACCTCTTGGAGGTGTGAATCTCTCCTTCTTTGGGCTTTCACTTTGGTTTCGCTTGGGTTCTTCAGTGATCTTTGGAAAGAGGAGGGGTGTGTTGAGGAAATTGGGAGTGTTGGGAAAAATTCCAGGGTAGGGGGCCATCAGACCTGGTGGATAGAGTGGAAAACCACCTGGAAGGGAGACTGGGGGACGTGGATAAACCAAAAATGGATCACCACCTGATGATGGCAGTTGCGCCATGACTCCTGATTGTGGTGGTGGTGGCGGTGGTGGTGGGGGATGAGGATTTCCACAGCGTGTTGATGTTGTCGAGTAACAGAAACGTTTATGCTTTGCTAAAGAGGTACCGCTACTGAAGGATTGTCCGCATTTGGCGCAATTTATTTGCATTCGGCAGAGTGAGTGCATGCGTTTGTGGCGGCACAGATTTGAGAATTGGGTGTACGCTTTGAAGCAGACTTCACATCTGAAGGGCTTGAATGTACTGTGGATGTGGGTATGCTGCTTCAGACCTGATGACGTTGCGAAGGTTTTTCCACACTCGGTGCAAGCGTGACTGCGAGCACCGACGTGATTTGTACGGATGTGACGTTGAAGATTGGAAGCGTCCGTGAATACCTGGGGAGGCGTCTTTCATTAGACTTGGAAATGTTTTTATGTTTTTGGGGGTGGGAGGGACTCATCAGGAGAACGGTACAAAACAGACCGAGTGAGATAATTATAGTCTCAATGCATCTGTTTAGCACCGACCTCCATTTGACTGAATTGTGGGGAATAATTACCTTAGGACAGTTCTCGCAAGGATATTTCCGGAGATTTCCGTGAATGACTGCCCGATGACGGACTAGCAAGGGACGCCAGGCAAAACCTCTCGAGCAGCTGTCGCACCGGTGTTGGTCAGAGGGGTAACGGTGACAGGTCACCAGGTGAGAATCCAATCTGAAATGACGATATGATTTTTCAGAGAAAATATAACGGGGCAAAAATTCAATTCAATTTTTCAATGTTAATTTATGATTCGCCGGGATTTAGAAAAAAAAATAGAGTGTTGGGTAATCGGATGTCGAGATGATGACTAAGTGACTGGAGTAGCTTCCGAGGCGATAAAAGACCCCTTCTTTAGTTCCTGAGAAAGGACGAAGTAAAAAGTGAGGGGGTGAGTTTGGACGTCACGTCAAATGGCCACCCTCATATTGTGCAGGATGTGTTTGGTGTGGAGGCATTGATTTTGCCAAAGGCCCTTTTCCCTTCGACCCCCGGGTGTACTTTCTTTGGAGGCACCAAACGTGTCGTGTGAAAGCCATTCCACGTGTGGTGAGATAGTGCCTCTGTTGTGACGCTGTTTTGCACCAGATGAGCCGAGAGCACGCGAACCTTGATGATATACAGGGACGTTAATGGCGAGGGGGTGAAATTCTCCTTTACCCCTTTCTTACCGGGTATGCGGACCTCGTTTGCCAGGAATTTCGCACGCCCCAGGCATTCAGATTCGACAACAGGTGATTTTCCAGGTTTTTTTCCCCTCAAAATTGGTGATTGATCATCGGGGAAAATCTTGGAAGATCCCTGGAGACTTCTCCGAGACAATTAAATTATTGTTTGAATAATTGGAAACCGATGACTGCGGGGGTGGAAATAATTGGATATATTGAGTTTTCCTGGATAAATTTCCTGGCAATCCATCGAGATGGTTTTCATCGATGTCCTACTCCATTGTGTTGAACGAAAAACCCCCCGAACTCAATTCCCTCTTTTTTTTATTCACTAACCAACCAAGTGATCAATCAAACTCGACTGCTGACTTGTTGATGAGTCAATCGACTCCATTAGCCGCGACTCAATGGCTCCATCGACGGAAAAAAAAATGATAGAAATAGCTCGCGTGATCGCTTCTTCATTGGGTATGAATGATACCCATTCAGATTTGCCAGATAACTTAACGGTGGCTTGACTCCACTGAATTATTTCGCGATAAAAGAACTGGACTTGTAGTTGAAAATCAGATAGTAATGGGGGTGTGAGAGGAACAGGAATTCATCATCCACAATGTAGGGGAAAGTATTGTAAATAAAAAATTGAAAAATTTATGGTTTTTTCGTGAGTACTTACACGTCGATTTCTTGAAAGGGCTTGTTACAACCTGGGCAACGTATTTCACCTTCTTCGTCCTCCTCCTTGTCCTCATCAGCGGTACCACTGTGTTGTGAGCCTGAAATAAAAAAAAAATACTCATTCAATTTCCCTCATTAACAACGGGGAAGTGCGATTTGCTTCTTAATCGAAATTCTTTCACGTGAAAATTTGAAAAATGCCCTTTCTCGCGAGATTGAAGGGAAATTTGTTGTAAAAATAACTGAAAGTATATTGAGTTTAAATTAGTTTGTTGCTAAAGGTCTGCGAAGGCAATTTTCTATTTTTCCGGATTGAATAATCAATGGATAAATTGAATGTACGTGAGAAAAATAGCGTGACTGAACCGACACATGGAGTGATGTTGAAATATAAATAATTGAGTGCGAAAATGAGGAAAATACCATTGGAGATGCACTCAACGATAATTCAACGTCAATAATTTTTTAGTCATGGTACAACAAACAAGAAAATAAAATTAAAAAAAATCCAACCAATAGAAAAATTCATAAGATTTTTGCAAATACTCTTCCATAACCCCGCAACTTATTTATAATTCCCAGTCCCGAGTTCAACCGCAAAATGAATTAACAATTAAAAACCACCTCGTTAGAAAATAAATTTTTAATCTTCCTAACGCAGATAAAAAATCACCTTTTTTTTCTGTATTTATGATTTAATTGCGCGTTTGATGGGTTTAGGTGAGTGATAAATTTGTATTGTACTTTGGACTTTTTGAAAAATAAAATAGGACACTAGGAGAATGTGCATCGACCGCAATCCAGCACACAACTAACACCAGAGACACTGGGGTAAAATGATGCACCAGTAACCGGTGGATCAGAGACAGTATGAAATGCAGTAAAAGCAGCCCTTGGCAGGGGGGGATATTTCATCGTAACGGAGTGGCCATTGGTAAAAGCACAACAGTACACCGACCAATCACAATGTAGACTAGTTTTCACCCCCGAATGTGTCATGACAGCAGGTAAAATCAGAGAGAGATACACAAGTTGTTGGGGTGGTCAAGTGGGGGGTAGAAATACAGTAAATATTATCCATTATTCCAGATAAACCGTCCACAATGCAGGTGATACGTAATTGTCATTCAAATTGAAGAATCATTTCGACTTTTTGATTATTTGATTATTTTGGTGATTACTTTGACCATCAGGGACCGTGAAATATTAATTTTTATTCTTGTCAAGAATTTATCATTCCAAAATAATAAAGAAAAGAAATTTCAATTTTTTTTATCGGAATTGAATGATAATTGAGTGGAGTATTAATTATTATAAGGATTGGGATGGGATTATAAGACGAAATTATTGCGTGGGAAAGTGATAACGTACATAAGTTTAAAAGAAAAACGTTAATGGGTAAAAAATATGTTGAAAAATGTGAGGGGGTGGGTATGCCTAGCTGGTGAGCCTCTTAACGGTTATTTAAATCTCCCAGTACACTTGTCCAAGCCATATGGCAATGGAAGCGTCGATGTTGGCCCCCCAACGGACCTTCATGGGAACTGGCCACCGACGTTACCGCCCCGGAGACTCTTTTCTACCCCCTGCAGACGTCAGTTTTCCGCATCTAATTCCCGAGTTGTTTTTTTTTTAGAACAATGAGAGGTTTGCGCGGTTGACCTCGTCCGTTTCTGTTCTTGGAGAACAATTGGACTGTGATGCCAGTGATCCTGGTTAACGCCCATGGAAAATGTAAAAAAATACGACTTCTGGGAAGCGGTGGAGGCAGACGAGAAACATAACGGGAAATATTTCGCGGGAATAATATGAAATGGGTAATTGGCAAATTTGGCCCCCTTTTTTTTTCCTCTTGAAATTTTACTGAGGTGAATAGTGCGAATGGAAATTCAATGGAATCACTCGATCTGACTTCAAGCTGTCGGATATGTTAATTCGAGGAGTCAAATAGGTGGTAAATTTCTAGGATCGAGTCACGTTGCGGAAAGTCAACAGGTGGGAATCCAAAGCCAAACGACACCCCCTGCCAAGTCAGTTGGCCGTTGCATGGGAAAAAATAACGGAAATCAATGTTCCCCGCAACGTTCCATCCGAACCTTCTCTCTATTTTATTTCGTCATTATTAGCAATGAATTGTACGTTACGAGAGCCATCATTACCATTTTTCCAAGTGTCTGAGAATTTTGTGGATTCTAACAAACAAAAAAAATTCTACCCAAAAAGAAATTGTTACATCGAGATTTGAAAATCTCCGTAAATAGAACCGAAAGAACCGAAAGAACCGAAAGCCGGCAATTCAAATTTCATTAAAAAATATTGGCTCATAAATCAAAATTTGGGACACGCCCCCACTTTGCAGACGTATCCCACCGACGATCAGACTCGTGTCGTATTTTTTTTTCCTGAAATGTCCGCATCATTAGCCCGTTAGGATGATTTGGATAGGGTTGTGAATGCATGAGACCCAGAGATCAACCCTCTACCTCCACCCCCTGAAATAGTGTCGCGTGCCCTTTTGTGTCTCAACCCCTTTCTCCTACTTTTCCACCTCTTTTTTCTTTTTTTTTTTCATCTGTATATGGCCCTGGTTTACGCGCGTGTTAATCGACAATGCAGAGTCATAAATTATCGAGAACCCTAATAGAGACATCTAGTGCATGAGGGACAGAGATTTCGAGAGAAAAAAAAATTCAACGGGGTTGGAGAGAAAAAAATATTTCTCTGCGGAAAATTGAGACGATAAGTCACGACAAATGACCCCTTGCCAGTTGCACGCCTAGTTATTTTTTTAGGTAGTGGCTTACCAAATGTCGTTTCTATGGATTTATCTACATAATTCCATTTTTTAATGTTCCTATCTATAAAAGTTGTCGTTTAATAATTATTGAAGAAATATTCAGAAATTGTGTGCCAGGGCAACTTGAAGCGTCAAATTTTAGGATTGCAAATACTGTGAAGGGCTAACCAATTGTCTATTAAATCCAAAAATGAAAGATGGTATATGTCGAATGTAAATGTCAATGAGAAATTAATTACTGAGACTACAGAATTTTTTCTAATGGCTTTTGAATGATAAAAAAAATATTTATAATGGTTTGAATATTATATCTGAGGTTTATTTGTCATCTGAATCCCCCATTGTATGTTTTCCACCCCATGTAGGCGTGTTAAACTGATTCTCCTGTGTACAAGACTCACCAACAAAAAATGCTCCTGCAGGAGTTGAGCAGATGCTGAGGGGGAGATCAACTACAAAAGGTAGATGTCGTTTGTTTGACATCATTATTCCCATCCCAACAGTGGTAGTCATAAAACATATTTCGGTCATTATTTCAAGGCAGAGTGAACCTTTAAAACCCATGAGTCCATCAAAAATCGAAAATCCAATCGATTTAAATGAGAAATTCTAAATGACTGTAATATACGAGTGATTATTTCAATATAAATAATTGAATTTGAGAAAGTTTGAAAAATATCCCCCCAGAACCACTCCCTTGGGATAAAATGAGGTCTCAAAAATTTTCTTCCCAAATTATTCAACTGCTCAACCCCTGGAACAATTAAAAATTGGACTGAAATAACCAATGACTCAACTCCCACAATTTCAAATAACCTCTCCCTCATAATAAACACCTCCTGCAGCTCTTAATTAATTTCTCAGAATGAAAATTGCCCACTAAGCCTTAACGTAATTGCTCTGGCGAGTTCCACCACTACTCTAGTCCCGTAAAAATATTCTTTCGCCTGTAAAACGCGGGTCATATCTCAACGTTCAGTGAGACCACCCCCTCGCCACGAAAAGAAGAAAAAAAATGGAATAAATATGCAAAGTAAAAAAAAAATCAACCGTTTGATTTTTCGAGCTTTCACTTATCCGTTAACCCCCAATTTTTATCCCTTTTATTCACTTGCGTGGGACGGACAGTAGTCCATAATTACACGTAAACATTTAACCGGAACCCAGTCGAGGTCATTTCCGGCCCAGGGCTCGTGACTTTCCATCCCTTGAATTATTCCGCACGATTTCCGGACATCGCAGCTTGAATCGTATTATTGTTTCCATTTTTTTCCTTTTTTTTTCCGAATGAAGAAAATGCCCGAATTAATTATAACGGAGTAATGGGGATGATTTGGAGTTATCGGAGCGCTAATTACTCCTAAAATTACGGAAATAAAGTCGTTTGACTCCGAGAACTGTCTCTTCAATCTAAAGATATTTTTTTCTCGCTCGAGTTGGGGTAAGTATACGATCCCGAGGCGTGCGATTCAACTTGGACGATAATCTGAGCTTTAATTACTTGCGACATCTGGCTGTCGCATTTCATCCCACCCCATTCACCGGTAGTCATAAGAGAGTTACAACTATGATAACTGTCGTGGAGTTGGGGTTTATAAATCATCGGGTTGTTTTTTCATTTCAAAAACAGCAACAACCTCAATTCATGACGTGTAATTTTTTGCCCGATAAATTTCCCGTGAATTCTATAAATTTTTGGAAAATTGCTGCGGAATTTAAAAATATTTTTCGTTCACCCCTCGAATAATGATTCAACCCCAGCCGAGGGGTTAAAATTGAACATTAACGGAGGTAATCAGTCGAGTGGGATCAAGCGGAATTGGCTCGTGCCCCATACAATACTGAGATAATCAGTAAGTGCTGAGAAATCAGTACCACCCACTCAACGTACCGTCCAGGTGAATCACGACCAGAATCACCAAAGCATAACGAACCCGGGGTCACATGAGACCTTCACGAATCACGATTAACCCTCACCTGCCCTCTGGTTAATCGTATGCACGAGTGCTACCGACTTTGATGCGTATCGGAAGGACCGAGTGTCACAGTCGACTCTATATCCGGTTTCAACTATCGCACGTGCCACTGATAAATTTAATTTTCAATTGCACTCACCGGTCTCCCGATCGCTCCTGTCCTCATTCGTGTTATCACCATGCATGTCCTGAAGCTGAAGAGGCTCCCTCGGACCCATCAGCAGCTCCTCCCCCGTCGAAATGTCTCTCACAGCTTCATACACAATCTGAAATCCAATGAATTGATTTGAGTAAAATATCTCAACTCCACTGATTCCATTTTACAATTAAACACAATTAAACGCAATGAGTTGATGATGTGTGGAAATAGTTGGGCTCAATCAGTGCCCCCCGGGTATCCTGGGCTGACAACTCCCTGAAAATAAACTCACCAACCCCCTAAGCGAAAATAACCATAACCAGGGGGTTTGATCTCCAACGGATTCGTCGGGGCTTCCCCCATTCCACTCAAGGGGTGACTTAATAACTAAACAGGCTGTATACACCCCAGCCACTGAGGGGTTGTCTTTCTGGCACCCACACACCAAGTATCAGGGTAACATCACACCCATGTGTCTGAGTTCACACGGAATCAACGCCTCAACCGTTGGCTTGTCATACTTCATAAAGCTTTGGAGAATCGAGGAACCGTGACCGCTCTTTCCTCACCTTATCTCGCGTTACGGTTCATTGGAATAAAAATCATATTGAGAACACTTGACGCATCGCACGATTGTATTGTCTGTTGGTCAACTGTTCGGCACATTTTTGACAATAGGAAGTCATTTAGGGGAGTCAAGTGGAGGGGACGAGGAAACACATGTCAATGGGGTGTTTTATTGTTTTTCTGGTAATGAGACTGTTTGAGTCTATTTTTCGAATCCATGCCAGATGAAAAATTCGTTGAGCATTTGTTTTATCGATATTTTTGAAATTTTTTGGGAGAAGGGGGTGTTGTTAATTGAGAGTATTTATTCTTACCTCCCCACCGATGAGGACATGCCGCATATTGACAGCTTGAGGATTACTGATGCTCCTGATGTACTTGAGCCAATTACTCGCCTCTCTAGATGCATCTAGCCATCCACGAACTCCACTACCTGAATGCCGAACCTGGAATCATCAAAATATTGCCACAAATTAACGAATCAGTCATTAAGAGGAATTAAACTTAAAAAATGTATTAACGTCTTGATTTGATTTTCAGCTCCGGAAAATGAGGTTTATTACTCAGAAATTTTCACTCGCCACCCTCTGAAGGTATAAAATATTTGAGTGATGCAGTCGTGTGCCGACTGATGCTTTCAAGTTTCGAGACAAGTGATTTTTTTCAATTGTCTTGGGCTACCGCATTTCCAGTCTTGACGCATGGTCGACCATGCGAACAGCAAAAGCAGGAGTCATTTCTCTCAAAGCCCCAAACACGATAGCTCAACTCACGGTGGGATTCACACCCCAGAAACTCTCGTGGGGTGCGAAATGATCGTTGAGTTTTATCGTTAGTCAAGGCATCAACCCACCCCTAGCTCTCAGACACTTGTCACTGCCATTTGGACCAATTGTCACTATTTTAGCTGTGCGAATTGCTCGATTCATTAGGGTAATGTTTTTGCTATTGATGGTTGAGATGTTTTACCGGATTTAAATGGATTAATAATTATTTTTTCATGGTTTTTTAAAATTTTTCAATGTGATAACCCATCCCACCTGTCGGAGACACTCTAAACTACCCCTAAATCAATATTCTCAGTGCTCACAGGTGAGTGGATAAGTTAGGTAATTGATCTTGCTCCTTACTCGTTGAGCCCAAAATTTGTTGTTACAACCGGGTTCACTCATCCTCATCGGTCTGATCCTTGGGGTCTTAGGATAATCCTGGGACCTTCCTTCGACCTAGTCTAGTGGAAAACATCGGAATGAGCTGCTGAGTATTATTTACACTTCGACACTTTCCCGGGACTTATATTTACTACTGTATTATATCCATTCTGTTTTCTGGACCATTCATGAATTTTTCCTGAATATTTCACACATTTTCTTTAATTTGTCGGATTTTTTTTTTCAGGAAAAAAAATGCGACAGACTGATTTTTCCAGCTGCAGACGACAATTCCAAAAAAACGCATAAAAATTGAAAGAATCCCTAAAATTTAAAAAGTTTTCCGATAGTTATCACACCCCGACCATCAAGTCTTGATCATAAAACTCCCGAAAAATAAAAAAATCATTAATCACTTTAATTTTCATGGGGGAATGACCGAAACGTGACAGAAAAACTGGAAGCCCTCGATTATAAATAAAGATCCTCACGCAGACAAATCTGTCCAACGAATTGTTCGCACATGCCCGCAACTGCCGACAAAGGTTTTTCAAAAAAAAAAAAAGAAATGGAGGAAATAAAAAGCAGGAGAATCTCCTGCTGAGAGAGAACTTGAGGATCTTTCGGTCACTTGCGGACATGTCCTCAGGTCGTCGAGTTAACGCATCATTGTGAAAAGGTGTGACAGACCTGTGGATCCTAATCTGTCGTGTTGCCCCCATTGAGTTTCCATTGTTGATGGTTGTTCGTGCCCATCTCAGTAAAATCCATCTTAAATCCCTCAACTTCACCCCCGTTGTGATACTGTGAAATATCTTGGTCTACTTTTGTTACTGTTTCTGGGTTGCATCTATCTCTCCTCATGATCGCAAATATCTTTGTGGTTTTCAATGACAGATTAATGTTTGTTTAGAAAAGGGAAAGTTACGACAAAATAATGAAAAAAAAAAAAAGGGCACCGGGACATGATGGAGGAGTGAAAAAAACCGGAGATCATCATTGTGTTTTCGCGTGATGTCAAGGACATGAATTAGTTTCATGTTACGATAAATGTGAATTGTTATGGAAGCAATATCGTCAAATTATCTGGTAAATAGAAAGCTAATGATGGATCATGAAGGGGGTCTGCTTTTGACACGGAAAACGATATAATTTATACTGTTAGATACAAAAGGAGGGTAGCTTCTCCCTATGGTTTTTACGAGGGGTTTACGAAAATTATCGGTGGATAAAAGCCGGTGCGAGGGTGGCATCTGCTCTACATTAGATACGGTTCGAAGAGCACCAACTTATGCCGCCCTTCATGTTATTTCTCCTGGGCTAGTGTCAAGTGGGTCAAGTACTGATTTTTCCCTCGGCAAAATCATTCTCAATCAATTTCCTATTTCTTTCAATTATTCTCTATGGATCTGATAATTTAGTAATTGGTGATAATTTAATTTGGCACTTGTTGAGAATAATTGAATGATGATTGCGTTAAATGCACCCCCGGGTCATGAATTCCGGTGAATTTAATTATATAGCTGGCATTTCGTCTGCGCAGATAACAGCCGTCTCTCGGCAATACCGATTGCTCGCTGGGATTAATTAAGGATTAATTAAGACGGTGGATGACTTGTGGGGGATTAAGCAAAGATGTCGCACCGCTATGTGGTACTTGCGAAGTTGAGGGAACTATCGTCGTTCTGGAATTTATTGCTACTTCAGAATTAAATTATGAATAATTAAAAATTTCAAAGGATCGATGAATTATCGACATTTGCAATGGGTGAGAATGGGCATTTTTTTTTTTTTTTAATTGAGTGAAAATGTTGGAGTGTTGATTTCCGGCTTTTTGGACATGCAATAATGAGGGAAAAGAGCTCAAAGTGGTGGTGAAACGCGTGAAAGCGAATGTATTTTCTCTCCCTTGAACCCCCTGTCAACGCCATTGGGATTGGGGCACACGCTGTGAACGCTAAAAGCATTTTTGCGTAGAACCAACCCTCGGAAACAATCGTACAACCACCCCATCCGGACTTTTATTCATCAAACTCTTATACCATGTTATGTCATCATATTTTTCGACTCTCGATTACAAACAATTGATTGAAACAATCTCGGAGTATTCAGCCGATATCCGAGACTTTGAAAGTGCGCGCGATATTTCAATTAGCCACGGAATAAAATATCGGGTACAATTCATAGTATTCCAATATTTGGTGATGGGTCAGGACCCAAAGACAGAGATAGGGAACTCAGAGAGGATCTGCCTCACTCCATGGTTTCCACAATAGTCCGAGAAAACACATGATCGCTCCCTTTGTAACCTCACACCTCCAACAAAACCCAAAAACTGGCTATTTCCGTGAAAAGAATGGAGATTTTTCCCCGATGGTTTTACGTGGTGCTGAAAATTCTGGGCATTTTCGGACAGCATGGAGAATCCTCTGAATGGATCCCTTATAATCGGCAGCATTCCGTGTCGCGTCAGTTTTTCAAAGAGAGACATCCAGAGAACGTTTGGATTATACTCCGATTGTCGATTGCCATCTCGGTTGGTTGAGGATTCATCCGTTTTTCATTTATTCTTCTCTCTTCACTCAAAAGGAATATCTCTTTCTGGGGAACGTGTCCCCATGAATGGAGACATTATTGACAGATATTGATCTGCATCCAAACTGTTATCGATTACCACCGGAGGCAATAATAAATACCCAAAGCCCTAAAAATCATTTATAATTAATATCGAATGTTGGATATCATCTCGACATTGCTGAGAATTTTTATTTTCAGAGCAACTGGAATTGTGATATTTATTCAGCGCTGTGGGCTTCGCTCTAAAATTTTGGAGTTGTATTTTGTTTATTTATGCAAAACAGGTGGAGTCAACAGCGAGTTGACACAACAGGTATGCCACAGGCGATCCATATTCTGGTGTATATTGACTCAAGCTCAGAATTCCCCCCTTGGACGCAGATTAGTTCGATAATTGTTGAGCCTGTGCAAGCAGTTCTCGATTAATCATCTCTTGTTGTCTTAAATTGGCACTTGGAAAAGTTTCAAACTGAGAATTTCTCAAGTCTATCAGAATGAAGATATTTTCTCCCCTTTCTTCAGTCTTCTCCAAGCCGACAGGAGCAGTAATGAGTAAGGGTCCGGTCGACAATGATTTCTGTAGGAAGCCGTTGATAGTCCTGATTTAATTGAACTTGTTGCCAACTCTCATAACGAGAAGTCAAGCAAGTGCTGCGTTTGCTTATAATTTACTGGAAACAATGCACCAGTTGCCTTTGATGTTTGCCTGATTGTCTTGAAGACTGGCGTGAGTCACCCTGATGTCCTCAGTGATTTCCAGGGGTTGAAACACTCCAGGTGGTGAATATTGCCCTTGTTCAGGTAAATTCCTCAATTTTTTCCATTATCCTGAATTTCCATAATTTTTCATTGATTTTTTTTCATCGTTTGAGAGGAAAAACAGCGGAATGTCGAGGGAAAAATTTCTACCAGTGTTGTTTGAGAACTTTTTAACAATTCTCTTTGACCAGATGACCACCGGGGGTTGCGGAACGTCTGCTGTCAAGGTATGACATTCCAACAATAAGTCATCCCCTGAGGGTCTGATTGTCACTTGTTTCCTGCTCTCTCCACTTCTTATCCTCATTGTTAGAAAAAATTTAAATGCCAAATGGGAAATATCGAAGGTCACGACACTGGCGTAACCCTACGCCTTGAGAACGTGCACTTTTTTTTTTCTCTCTTGTAGTTCAAGTTGAATCGATTTAAATAACTGATTCGCAGGGCTCAGAGGAATGAAAGTCTGTGGGTTCTGCCCACTGAATTTCTGGTGCATGCGCAATGATTTTTTCATTGTCAAATCATTTCCGGGGCTTGACCAACCACCGGGGACAATAAATACTTTTAAAGTGTACCTAATCGCTGTCACAATGGACCAAAACCCCGGAATTGTTAGATTTTCGCCAATTTTCGGAGGACATTCAACGGAATCTTTCATTTCCCTGAAGACTCTTTCATTTTCCACGGGTTTTCTATTTGTGAATAGTCATGTGAGGTGTAGGGTTCCATACTCTGAAGTTTCTCCAACAAACTGGAGAGAAAACTTCGTAACCCAATTTTTTTTTCTCAACATTTTCCATGAATTTATTTTTGCATAGCAATGCGATTTTTATATTTGGATATTTTTCAATGGATTGAATATTTGTGATTATTCAATTAATCTACTGATTAAATTTTTCAGTTAATTAATTTATAATTGAAGGAAATATTCGACAGTTAGGAATTGCCATTCGATGACGATTGAATTGAATTGAATAATGGAATAAGAGTTCGATGAATACAATAAAAGACACCTCGTCACGTGTCGAAAAAATTTAAATGTCAAAATATACAAGCCCTGTACAAAGACGTATCATGTCCCTATTACCATAAGGTGGAAGGTGTGCAGAAGTGTCAATCAAACTCAACTGCAAAAAAAATGATGAAGAAGGCACAAACTCGATCCTTGAGAAAAGGGCTAGTTAGTTTGTACGCAGGGGATGGTTGCATATTTTTTTAGTAGTTGTATCGAGGCGAGAGTCGATTATTCGTCGACTCGCTCTCCATTATTCTCGAATCATGTTTTGGGGATACAATCTCAACCGCTGGGTATTATGTATCACTGTGTCTCAATTACAATATTTTATCTGATTTATTTAATTGCACGGAAGATTCATTTCGATTTGCAATTCTTGCCGGTAAATTATTTAATAAAATTTGCTTCATTCTGATTACCGATTATTTAAAATAATAAAATTGTTTCTTCTATCAACAACTCAACGAATTTTCCCATTTTGTCTAGCCTCTACGATATAATCCTTTTCTCGTATTGCATTCACCCCAATTTTAATCCTTTCTCACCGAAAACCATCTCCAACAGCAAAAAAACGAATCACAATTTTTATCCCCCAAAAAGAAATGTTTTTCACGTTTATTCATACCTGGTGGAAAAATAGGGGTTGAAATTTGTCAGAGAATGGGAATTTTTGAAGGGTTTACGGGTATCTGTGTTACCCCACCTGCAGAAGATATTTTTTTTACCCAGTTTTTTTCTCGTCTTTTTTTTTTCGGGGGGATATGCGAAAAAATTTGAGGGCAAAATTGGGGGGATGAGAATGGGATGAAAAGGGGCGGGGATGGGATCTTCTACTAGTATTCTGTGCCCATTGACGCGTGATACCAACGATGTGGCGTGCCTCAGTGTCGACTAAACCAATCTTTGGCTTAGTTCACTCATCCGTGTAACATCGTAACTATTTTTTCTCATTCCCCTTCGTTTTTTTTTTCTTTTCAGTTTACCGGAGATGTTCCCGTCAATTTGTTGAATTATTCCGGCCTTTTTGCGGTTCATTACGATTATTGGGTCAAGATTCATCGATTTTTAATCGCAAAAAAATAAAACGAATTTACGACTATTTTATGTCAGAGATAATTTTTTTGACAATGTTTCGAAAATTGAAAAATTAAAAGGAAAAATGACAAAATATTGAAATTATAATTTTTTTTTTCTTTTCTGATTGAATCGTTCTTTCCACGTGACTTCTTTAGCACTTCGTGACCGCTTAGCAGGTTTTTATCAAAGTGAGAGGCTCTTTTAGCTCTTGTAAATGTAGACACGCGTCGTGACCGGTCTTATGCCTAAAACTTTTTTACCAAATCGTGCGGAAGGCTAGACCATTATATTACCCAACGCATGCTGCTGACAAATTACATTAATGACGTGCTCAAAACCTCAACGAGATCTATCTACGCTATTTCCCTTTCTTTTTTCAAAATTATTAACAATTAAATTGACCATTATATTGTCGACCCAGAAGTCAATGAAATTATTTATTTTTCGCGTGTAAAGAGGCGTTTGATATGTGATTAACTTGTAATAAATTAACTTGGTTAAAGTTATTTTTTTTCTCTCAACGCAGGGGTGCTTTGTACAACCGTGTCCAAGTGGAAAAGAGAATCGTATGTCCACGTGGGACTTGATAGATCGTCGGACGAGAAACGAAGGGGTAGTTTAGGTTTAATCGATCCTGTAATCGCACAGTCGACAGTTGGTCCGACTGCCTTTTTGTCGGGTGTTGAGATGGATGATGCCATTTACATTTTGTCAGTGCGCCATGCGCACCACTATTGCTTATCATATCTATCACAATCCCTGGATTTTCCTCTGATTCTCAAAATCCGACTTTGTCGTTATTTCAATGGAGATGGGGGGGATTAAACCTATGCCCTATACAATTGATGAGAAAATTTCTCATGGAAAAATTCAAATGATCCCCAACTCGACACGAAATTTCAATATTCATGAATTTTATCAAGGAAGAGAATTCGGTGACATGAAATTTTTGAACATAAAAATATTTGTCAATTGAATTCTCTCCCCCGGATTGATTCATCTGTTTGTTCTGGTGCGAAACTATTTGGTTCGAGTATCGGGTAAATGTCCGAGTGGCAATTGACAGATCTGTCAGACACGGATGCCACCGAGAAAACGGTGGAGACCAGGTGTCTCCATTCATCGGCATCTGCCAGGATAATGCCATGAGGATTAAAACTTCTCACTTGCATGGGACATACGTCTCCAATATACCTAACACCGATTGGCCTCTGCCTATTCTACCATCTTCCCAGTGAGGGCTAATAAACAGATCGATCATCTTTCAAAACGGTTGCCCCAGTCACGATCATCATCGATAAGAACTCAATCGCTTTTGGATTAATGTTCTTTTCAATGATAAAAAACGAATTTTCTCATGACATCAGTCATCGGGGATTGATTATTCACTTCATTTCGCTCATCTCCGGCAATCCGATTATTCTTTTCGAACGGAAAAGATTTTTTTTCGCCATTTCATTTCGAATGAAATTTTTTCACGGATTAAAATTATTAAATAATTGATTATAGTGGACTCACCTCCCACGCGTATCTGGGGTTGTAAGGATCAGTGGCCCATTTTCCCAGGAAAGGGCCAAATCTGGCACCTCTGGGGATTTCCTTCCTGGCACGAACATGTGGGCCTTCGTTTAAATTACTGCCAACTTCAACCTCTGGAACTGGTGACAGCCACTCTGTTGGGGGGTCTTTGTGCTCTTCTGGGTCTTTCGGTTCTTCTTTTATTGTATCTTCTGCCATTATAACATAAATTCGATGAATTAAAATATTGAAATAATCCACCGATGCAAGAATTTGTAAGCATGAGATTTAAATCGATAAAGTACTTACGATAATCACTGATGTAACTGTCTCTTGATCTGAAATCTTTGGGATCGGCCATACGTTCCCAAAAGTCCCCGCATTTCGTGTCCTCGTGCTTGTCGTGGGACTGCATATCCATGATTTGTGGAAAATCGAAGGTCGACCCCTGCCTGAGGTGATAATTCAATGAATTACTGTGTCCACTGGAGGATCTGACGCATTCCTCCATTTCTTGGGCCTCCTCTGTGACACCACTAGCACCAGTGATTGTTGTTTCACCCTCGTCACTGCTACCTGCAACAAATTAGTAAAACAAAAAGACTTTTAACAGAATTCAAAAGCTTGTCAATTCGTAAAAAAAATGTTCTTCCAAGGAAGTGACGATGAAATAAAAATCAAATCGGTAGAACACTTGGTCTGAATTTCTAATCACTCATAATTTTTCCACATCCATTCATTAAAGTAGCTTCGTGGCTAGTCGTGTGATAAGCCGGGTAAATCCGAGGAAATATCCGGGTAAAAATTGCAGTAAGAATGAAGTAAGATAGAAAGATAGAAAAAACTACGGGCGTCGGTTTTATCGTGCCGCGCGGATTGTTTGCGGTTCCTGGGCTTTGGGTTTACGACATGGCACTATCCTAGACACACACAAGTGCATTTCATATCATTTTGTGGCCTCTATGGTTTCCCACGAATACGACAGGTCCAAAAGATAGGGATTCCACGAGGATTCCCTGTGTGAAGTGATAAGAGGGATGAAGTAGTCAACATAGAGGTAATAAGTTTTATTGAGTGGCGGCCTTTTCTTCCTTTTTTTTTCTCGTCAATTTCTGTTTGAATTAGTCCCGGCGATTTGACGTTATCGAGAGAAGTAATAAATTTTTTTGGAGACTGTCAACGGAATGGATTATCGAAAAGTCAAAGTGAATCATTCGGGGGATTAATTATGAGGTCATCATTACATCTTTAGAAAATTGCTCTCGTAATATCAAGTTAAAAATTCTGAATGAATAAATGTTGTGGAGTTTTTAAAATGAAGGGTAAACCCGATATTTCCCACAACTCTTAATTTAGATAATTATTTAGTGGAGATTCTCATGATAAAAAATAATATTCACTGGTTTTTCCCGGCATCAAATCACACGGCACTCGTAGCATCTCCAAAAAAAACACGTACCACTTGGATAATCTGTATAACTCCCTTTTTACGATATCAACACAGGAGTCAAGTATAAGGGGATATGTTCATGTGCTCATGTTCAATGACACCCTCCGTGAGATTACTGTCTTCCTCTTTACGATCATCCGAAAATTCTGTCGTCGTTGAATGCCCAAGGGGCTGTTTGTTTAATCGATCAATCGTGTGAGAAGCACTTGAAAATTTCAAGTGATGCCAGCGATATTCGATTAATCCAATGATTAAAAAAATTATAACCATTTAATGATAAATTTTCACACGAGTGAAAATTTAAATGGCAGGAGCAATATTTTTTTCCCTCAGTGTTTAATAAATAAGGGAGATTGTCCTAGCTTGTTTCCACCCATCATCTAATCTATCGTCAAAGCCCGGTCTTGGGTAATTAAGCGGGTAATTAGCAGAGACTAGGTGTCGGAAGACGAAAGCACTGATACTGCAGTCTGTGGGTTTCACACGAATGAAAACCAAACCGCAATGAGTGACCACAGGACGTCCTGGGTGATACGCGAATATTTCCTAAATACCCGCTATCCCGGGTGATCATCGGTTAACGAGCATTCTCCAGTGATTGGGAGGTTAATTAAAATTCCATGCGTCAAAACCATGAATTCACCCCATTTTCCCAATTTCCACCGCACCCCCAACTCCCAAAACAAATCCATTTCTCCTCACGTGAAAAATCACGAGAAAAATTATCATCACCGATTTATCCACTGGAGTTCACAATAAATATTAAAAATACACCGTCACCCTCGTAAAAACACAACATCATCCCCAAAATCATGAGCAAAGAAAGTCTTACCACTTCTGGAGGTCTCCCTCACGCTCAAATCAAGACAACTCATATCTATGTCCTCACAAAACTCAAATCCTCACAAACACATCACAAAGAAATTCCAAAAATTCCTCGCAATATCACCAACAAAAAAAAATGGATAAATAAAAATTCATTCAAATGCATTTGCAACACCAAAAAAAGAACTCATCACAATTTTCACTCCCAGACCTTCCCGCAGGGGGTGGTGGACCATCTGAGGACAAGAGGGAGTGCGCAGAAAAATTCGCGATTTAAAATGTCCCGGAGTTGCCTCGGGCTGCGGTTGAAAAAAAAAAAGCCGGTGGAGTGGGTTCTTAGATAGAGAAGAGTGGAGCTGCGCCGTGTCAGCTGGCTCTTGGCAGACTAGAGAGATCCTAGGAATCAGTTGAGAAGAGGATGGCACTGGTGGCCTCCCGTGGGAGCTGAATCAGGGACGATCTGGTGGATGGGGTGTGGCGATGACGTCTGCTCCGGGATTCTGGTTGGCCCGCAGGCGGAGCTACCCCGTATTCTACTGGACTATCCCCCCACCTCCCCCCCGCTCCGCGCCATCCCCCCCTTAACCCCGCGGAGCTACACAGCTACAAAGGGGAGAGGGAGACCACAGCATCACGATGGCTCCAACATCAAGAGAGGGATGAGAGGGAGAACGGGTGAATCCGATTTCCTGGGGGTGGAGGGGGTGCACAGGTTGATCAGATTGTTTTTTTCTTGACTACCAGGGAGTCCAGAAAATTATACTGTTACTTTTGATGGGAAGTTGCAATGAATTGTCAAGTAGTAATATTCAAAAATTTGCAAACTTCAATTTAAATGATTAATATTTCTCCATTCCGTTGTAAAAATTCGAAGAATCCAATTTTAACTCATTTCATGCTCTGACCCCTCTAAAATGTCACTCCCTAGGTGAATGTAAAGGACCGTTGCGGTCAGACGTCAGATTGTGAGATACAATATTTTTTTTTTCGCGAACCCTCTTGAAAACTTTTCAATATGCTGAAGATATTGAGGGGAATTCGTCGGGAATGTCGACCCCACGTGGAGACACTTGGTCAGTTACGAGACGATTGGCTTTATCGAGGAGTCACTATTTTTCCGATTTTTTTTTTCTTCCTGTCACCGCAGAAACGCCAATGTTAACGTTTATTCCCTGAGGATCATGTTCCTGAATTTTTTCCCAAGAATTTTTATTACTAATCTTTATGGTGGGAACCGATTGTCTAGATATTTTAATTGGAAAAAAGAGCCATTCACTTTTTTATTGTGAGAATAAATATTAATGAAAAGAGACGCGAACGAGATCTAGTTGCCATTGAATAATGCTTCCTCGAATGAGAAATATAAAATTCGTAACGTCATACAGGAGGTACCACAAATCTTAATTTCCTAGTCAGCCAACAGGATAAGAATGAAATGAAAAAAAAAGTCGGTATACTGCGGGTGTATTTTACACAAGAAGACATGTGTCGCCCCGTTATATCATTCTTTATATCCCCGAGCGTAACGCGTGTATGTAATCCCCATGTAATATTCGGTGGTTGATTTACACGTATATAAAATGTTTGGTATTGCCTATTTATTTATATTTATCACGATTTTTATCAAACTATGAGGCATAAACGAGAGACTGTATTCTCGCGTTTAAATTGACAGATTAAATTTGGAAAATCAACTTTTAGTCGATTGTGTCACTCTCTAAAATCGCTTGACAATTTCAATGGTCCAGAACTACGAGACAATTTAGATGGTGCAGAGACCCTGGAGTGAGGCAGACGTTTTGACAAAAAAAATATTAATAACACGAGTGGAATAAGAGACATCGGAGAGCAAGTGATAGAGGGAGATAACGGCAGTTGTGGGGGTGTGAAAAGTGTTGGGGAATTGTTGGAGGAGCGATGAAGCGAGGAAATAACCATGGAAAGAAGAAGGAGAGGGGTTGGCAAGTGTTTCTGTCAGTTTAATAGGTTCGTGCCACCCCTGGAACTTCTCACTCCCCGAAAATGTTACATCGTCACACTTTACGTGTCAAAAGTTACAGGACTATCAGGTTTTCGAGTCTGGACAACCCTTTGACCCGGGGGAGTAATCAACTGGCCACAGCCACAAAAGAATTCAACGATTTTATTTTTTTGTCACGAATTGGGTTAAACGTAGTTGAAAATATTTTTCATACTTTTTGCACGTCTTTGAAAAATTGGGGAGATTATTCCAGCCAAAGAGGGGGAAAATAAAAAGAATAAGTGAGAAATTATTTTTTGTTTTTAAACAATTAAAAAACCGGTGACTCGCCGACCCTCTGGCTAAAACTCAGAATATCTTCCCACCACAAAGAAAAGATCTGGAGTCATTGATTCGACCGTTAAGTCCTCAGCTTCAAGTAATTCAGAAACAATCGGAGAAACCCCAAGTTCATTCATCCCCCAAACAAAAACCTGAACAACCTCATAATACATTAAATACATGTCCTTTACATACTCAAAATCTTGAGTCCTAGAGCCTCGAAAAATCACTCCAACTCACTAAACAATCTCCCCCTACTCTGACTCTCACAAATAAAAAATCTCATCGAGTTCTTAAAAAATTCAGCGACATGACCGGCATCATCAGAAATTTTGGACTGAAAGCAACGAAAAAGTGAAGATTATCCATCCCGAATGCGCGAATTTATTCTCGATGCCCTCCTCCATTAAAAAAAAATCCCTTCACAACGCAGACAATCTATCCTGTGTACAAACGCCTCAATGTACATTCACAATGTCTCCGAAATAAAAGCAGATGACTGGAGCACCGTTAACGGCCAAAGTCCCATAATTTACTTTCAAGTCGAGTTGGCTTCATATATTCATTCCCCACTAGTTCTCCATCCTTCATCATCATCATCCACTCCTTAATGCCCATCAGGATTGCTCGGCAAAAGTACTCACTGTGCGCTAATGTGTGCCCCAATGGGCAAATGGCATTCAGGAAGAGCACGAGAGTAAAAAAAAAATATATATGAAAATAAAAAGAGAAATAGGGAAGAAGTAAAAAGAAATGATGAAAGAGAGAGTTGCGTACACACCCCGCCTGGAAGCAACTTGAGACGCAATTGTTGTACGCCGCGTGTGCACTGGAGGTACTATTCACTCGTTGAGTTTCTGTGTCATGCCCACCGGAAGTCACTAGGAAAGCGATGAAAACTTAGAATGGATGAACAGGAGGCAATGTGGGGCCCCGTTCTTGCCAAGAAGCGCATGACATTTAAGGGGGAACACCGAATGAAATAGCTGAAGGAATAAA